GCCAGCCAATTCCAGAAGCTACACACATCATCAAATGAATCCCCGCCCCATCTGCCTGGTCCACCTGCACATCAGCAGGAAGAGGCCACAGCAAAGAGCAGGGCTGTTAAACACTGTTCTCCTCTGTAGGCTCACCTCCACTTCTTTTCAGAGGCGGTGACAAAAGCGCAAGCGACAACTCTCCCAGAAAATAAACAGTCTCCACAGGAACACATTACATTTGAAATGTGATTTAGAGTCTGACCAGCATAATTCTCTATTGAGGAAAAGGAAAACCACTGTTGACCCTGAAACCACAAACTAAAATAACCAGCGATTAACAAGGTGAATGAAAATAATCCTAGCCACTATATCTGTATGTACTAGTTGAACCACCTCCACAATACATCGGGCAGGAACAACCTGAAAATATAACCATGCCGTCCAGGAACAACACTGCGAATCCCAAGAATTATCTATATGCCAGAACCTGCCAAGTATTTGTAAGAAGCCAGCCATGTTGTGGTCTGCATCAGGGTCAACATATTGTTACGCACAAAGCCAAACAAGCCGGTTTGACCAAGTGTGCGAACACCATGAAACGATAAACGAACTGTAAAAAATCGTATTAACCAAAAAAAAAATAGCAGAAGCCCCCAATTAACCTTATGTCCGCTGCTTTGTACTTCCACACACACAGCCAAAACAGAAAAATAAAACACAAACATTCACAAATCACCGTCTGACAAAAACAAAGATGATCGCATGGTAAACCTTTTAGCTAAGGTCGTTGAATACATACCAGGAATTTCTTCATTTTTCTCATTGCTCTGTTGTAGCCTCAGGGAAACTGGGTTGGGCTGTTCTTAAAATACCACAGTAATTATGTGTAATCATTCAACATTACAACAACGGTTAAAAGTGGTTGTAATGCCTTTGGGTGCATCTTTAAAAAAACACAAGTTAAGCTAGACCAGATTTCTCTCTTTGAATGAGGGCACATTACCACAGAAAAGACAACTAAAAATAAGGCAAAGCTTCCCTCTCCTAACACATCCTGTTGCGCAATAGTCCACGTCTCGTTCTGAGTAAGACACCTTGTTTGTCAAAGGCAGAAGAAAAGCTCACAACCAAGCTGTATCTGTCAGTGTGCCCGCCTTTGGGCATAGTGGCTTTGCTTGTTCCCTTCTCCAATACAGATACTGCATGAAGGTCTTTAATAAATAAGAAATGAGAGACCTAGAAAAAAGTAATCTAACAAGACAGAAGGAGAAAAACTGGAAATCCTAATGAAGTAAACATTTAGTGCAAAAATATGATAAGTGTTATCTCATTCGAGTTCACACCATATAACAGAGGAAGGCATGTTGCTTTAGATGTGTAAAAACTCTTACTATAACTCTATCTATGTGTTGATGTCATCTCATTCTATGGCAATGCACTTCTCCCTTAAAGACAAATTTCTAAGAAACTTTTTTCTCCAACAAGTCACAAATGAGTTCCTCCGGATCCCTTTATAATTTTACTGCACGGATTGAGCCACATATTCCAACATCATAGAGACACGTATTTACACACCATTAGAACAACACCAGCTGTGGCAACCGAGTTGGAAGAATATTGACTGGCGTGTAAATTTAATAAGGAGATACAGATCTGAGACCATACACTCTAATATATGAATGAATACCTGAGATAAACTTTTATGTATGAACTCTGGCGCTAACTAGATACTAAAAAATTATAGAAATGAAATTGTTAAGCTGCTTTACATTTGTGGCGAGAAAAAACAAAAATAAAATCAGAACGGATATGGGAGTCAAGTCTTACGAATTTAGCATTGACAGCCTGTATTCACAGTAGCCCCAGAACGGACAATCAATAAGCCATAAGCACAAATGAATCAACAGAACCTAGAATTGCTGGAAAAAAAAAAAAAAAAATTAAATAGAAACATGTATTCTGAATAAGACACTGCTTTGGAATCAACAATACATCTATTATCCTTTGAAAATGGAATCACAAGAGTTGCCAAATGTGGGAGAAGGAGTCTTTTACACCCGCCACTACCAGAATTACTCTACTGTGCTAAACTTGATGAACTAGTGAGTAAACCTGTCCATTTAGGGTCAGAAGACAGACAGTAGTACCCGCAGAAGTGCAACGACCACAAAAATGATGCGGAAGACTGGGTTGCTTGAGTTCTTCTTAAGTACAATGTTGTAGTGCATTTTTATCTGATGTGAGAAAAAAAACTTTTGGTTTCCTACTGCGAGTGAAAAATGCCTAGGTGCATGATATGGACCATCAAACAAATCTTTGGCAATGACAAATAAAACTTTTACATTTCTTTCTTGTTGTACTCTCTTAATGTTGTCCCTTTCTTCAGAACCAATGAAAATCTCACACCCTCGCAGAGGTTCCTCTGAGCAAGATCTCTTTGATGGACCTTCATGCTGTTGTGAACCTGTGGGTGGGACTCCTCTAGCTTTTCATGGTCCAGTCTCCAGTGAGAGATCAAGCAGCAAATTCAGCTGGTACAAGCAGTCTGTTGAAAGATATGTCCAAACAGTCCGCTGCTGCTATACTTGGCCAAAATAACTTCAGCGAACCCATTTACCAACTCACATACTCACCAAGTAACCAACCGTCGGACACTCCCACTACATTCTTACCAATCAGAATGTCACCCAAAGGAAACGGAATTCGAACGCACATAACTTCTCTCGGTCAAAGTGGGAGCAACGCCACTCACCCAGAGTTCTTGTTTAAGCATCCTTTTGGACTGTGACATGGGTCACATCACTGTCAGTTTTTGTATGTCATATCCTCAATGTTGTACCAAATAAACAGAATCATTAATTCCTTTCAATACTGGTTTTCACTGAAATCACCACAGATCCCGTAATCAGCGCAGAATCTGTGAATTGTGAAGCAACAATCGGAGCCAGAACAAGCAGTCAGTCCAGCCGGGAACACGCAGGCCTGACCTCAACGTGTTCACTTCTCCCCAAGAGCAAAACCCAAAAAGGTCCCCAGTGTCCAGGTGACTACACCACAGTGTGTACTGGTTCGGAGAAAAGCTGGATCAGGACAAATCTCATCCGTAAGTTCATTTACACTGCAACAAGGACACCTACAGCAGGAATGAACAAGAGAAAAGGGGCTGTGTCTACATGCTTGTCCAAAACCTAATGAAGAGACTCCTCTGATTAAGCTGGGAACAATACAACTGTGCTGGGTCTCAAATGCTGGAGAGATCCTGTTTCGGTGAATGGAGACTAAAGCTGGAAACAAGTACGATCTTACTGTCATCGCTACTATCATATAGGCATCTTTATATAAACCATTTTCCTGGGTTATCACTATTTAAATAACCTGATTCAGTAAGATTTGATTATTAGTCTGCTCTGAATACTATAATAGCCGCACATGAACATTTACAAATTACTTTTATAGTGTAGCATTACGTGTATATTCTTTTTTTTAAAATACTAATGCAGCTTATTTATATTCATATGCGATTGAGTTATTTATCAGCCAAGAGTAAATTTGCTTCAGTAAAGCTCAAATCAATAAGGAGAGGAGTATTCTTTCCGACTACAACAATATAACTATGCAAAAATTGAGTTGATCAAATATTTGCTTTTGATAAGCGTAGTTTTCTAAAATGCCACAAGTATTCAAATAAAAAATGATTATTCTCGAAGAGTAACAG